GCGTGCTGGGGCTGTGACACCCCTGGGGGGTTCTACATTTACTGGGGTCTTCTCCCCCACCTCTGGGTTGTGGCTATACCAAAAGCTCTGCCCACACAGGGTGTTCGTGCAGTGGCTCTGACTGCAGGGAGCAGTAGGTGATGAGAGGGATTTTACCCAGATACTCCATCTGTCCTTGCTCCAGCAGCTTGGGGAAGGAGCAAAAATACCCCATGGGTGCTGCCAGGAACCCTCCTGCCTCAAGGGTGGGCTGCCCAGCACCAGGCCCGTCATGCCAGGACGTTTCTTGGTCACATCCCAGTGCCCAGACTGCGCACGTCGAGGCGCTGCGGAGAGGAGGAACTGAACTACTCTGAAGTACTGGAGGTGGCGAATCTCACCCAGCAGCGATTCTCCATTTTAGAGTTGTCAGCACCATTATTTCAGTCCTGGCACTCCCCAGGATGCACAACAATCCCACTTTCAGTCCTGATACAACCGACACCACAGACAGACAAAAGATCATCCCGAGGAGAATATATTCTAAATATCCTAAATTAGCATCAATCTGTTTCAGTATATTCTACTTCCAAACTATCACCCTCGTATGAAAAGGAACACAAAACTCTCTGTGTCTCTTTCCTCCGCTGCAGCGTCTGAGCTGAAACAGTAGAAGTGCTTACAGAAAGCCATGGTTAGTGTTACTCTGCAAGGATCCAGGACGGCATACCAGAACCTGGTTTTGGCATCTGGGAACCACTTTTCAGCCATATATATCACCGTTCCTGCGTGCGCTCGGGTCCACACAAAATTAGCCCTAAGGAATGTGAATTCGAAATTTGCTTTCCAGAAGCACTCAAGCGCAGGAGCTGAAATTTGCTCTTTCTAGGTTTCCTACCTGTTTAAGAGAGAAGGAACGAAATTCTGGCCCTTTCTTATTTGGGCTCCTTCCCGGGAAGATGTGCAAAGCCCGTGCCTGGCGCTCTGGGTCTGCTGTTTGTACCCTGAACCGGGACTTTTCAGGCAGCAGCTCCCGAGGTGAGCTCGCCACCTGCCCCTTGCCTCGCGCTTTGCTTTGGGCTCTCTTTTTCAATAAGAGCTGCAACACGTGTGCACGCTGGGGTGGGTTTTACCCCCATGCCTACAGCGCTGGCTGCAAACCAAACGCCAGCCCAGGGCGTGCAGCTGGGAGAGGCGAAGCCCGAGCACCTGGGGAATGTTTTCTCGCCCCTGGGAGCTCCGGCATTTACTGCTCAGTGCCACGGCTGGCACTCGCTGCGTCCAGCAGCCAGCTGGGTTTCCCTTCCTCTGGGCTCCAGCTGGAGCAAAGGAGCAAAGGGGCTGCATTTGATAAAGGTTTGATCTTATTTTAAAGTGATGCCATTTGGCCTGCTGCATGACTGCCTTGCAAATGGTCCCGAGAGGGCTGCCTTGCCCCCAGATGTGTATTTTTGTCCCCACCAGTGAGCTCTGAGCTGCATTTTCAGCGCCCTGACACCAGTGTCCCAGCCACAAATGCAGGGAGGACATGGGTTGCTCATCCAGGGATCCGGAGCGTTTTGTGCTAACCCCAACCCTGCTCCAGACCCCCCTGGAGACAAGGCCCCCAGCGGCCCCCAGCACCGACCTCGGCCCCACAACTCATGCAGGAACAGCTCAGAATCACCAAAAAGGAACAAACACCAAAAAGGAACAAGCACCCAAAGGAGCAGGGTATTTCAGAGCACGCTGGCACTTTGCTCTGGTTGCCACTCGGGGCTGGATGCATGGGGAGAAGCAGGGTACTTCTGTGCTGTCTTGGAGTGATTTATTTTCACGGTAAAAAGGGATGTTAGAGCTTTTTGCTATTTATTTACAGCTTTACAAGGATTTGTGGTAAGCTGGTGGCTGAAGGTGCGGTGTGGGCAGCGAGGAGCCCCCCCGCTCTATAAAGGGATGCTGGCCTGTGACAGACGTGGCCAGTTCCTGAGATTCCGGATAAAATGGGAGCCCTGCCCTGCTCATCTCAGCTGTGCCCGGAGGAAAGCTGCCAGCAAACCCTCCTGGGCCAGCACTTTGATGCTGCTGGGCCATGCTCCCCGCACCCAGCGCCCACACACTGCTCCTCCCTGCGTCCTTTCCCACTGGGCTGGAGGGTCTCAAAGCTCCTTTTTCTCCACGCATGCCTGCCTTTCCCTTGCACCCTCTCTCAGGGCAGGGTCAAGCCCATCCTATCAGCCTCAGAAATCCTCGGTGGCTCCTATGGCAGCCCGCAGCCTCCTCCCAAACCCGGAGCACAAAGGCTCAACGCAGCGTTCCTGCTCCCTGCTCCGCGGGAACAGCTGTGCCGAAAAGACGCCGAGAATCCCTGCGAGGCTCCAAGGAAAAGATATTAACCCGGGAGGGGAGCAGCGGTGCTATAATAAAAAGGTTTTATAAAAGAGAGAAGCCACTGAGTGGATTAGCAGCCCAAACCTTGCTTGGCTTTTGGGCTCCTTTCCTCCAGCTCTCCTGCCCTGCCCGGCAGTCTGTGCTGATTCCTCCCCATGAAGGGAAGCTCAGCTCCCAAATTTCAGACGGGTCTCCCCTGGGGGAGTCCCCCTGCAGCATGGGGCTGGGTTTCACGCATCCCAAGCACCCAGAGGACACACACACACATAGCTGGCATTTCACACTGGGTCAAACGAGCTCCCCAAAGCCTCCCCTCCAGCTTCAGAGCTCAGTGGGTGCTTGCAAAACAACCACAGCCACGTTACAGCCCCCAAGCAGTGAAGGCACACACTGGTCGCAGCCAGCACAAGGCGTGCAAGGACACATTCCCCTGCACAAACAGCCGGGGCAATGCTGGGCATGGAGCATTTGCTGCATGAGGACCACCAGCTGTGCCAAGAATTTCGTTGTTTGGGGGTGAAGGGAACACGTGGGGCTCCTGCACCCGCAGCTGTTCCCTGCCCGCAGCCCTCCTGGCCACGCAGGGCATTTAAATTTTAAAGCACTCTCCCCACAGCTGTTTTCTCCTCCGTCTCCACCGGCTCGCACAGACCCCGTCCCCGGGAGCTGCTGGTCCCCGAGGCACCCATGGGCTCGCTGGTGGCCAAGCTCCTCCTGCCCACCATCAGCACCTTGGTCTTCCTCCCCACCATCAGCATCGCGGCCAAGCGGCGCTTCCACATGGAAGCCATGGTCTACTTCTTCACCATGTTCTTCGTGGCGGTAAGGGACCCCGGGTTTCCTTCCCCCCGCATCAGGACCCTGCTGGGAAGGGTTGAGGGGTCTCCTAGAGGCATGGGGTGACCCCTGGGACATCCACTGCTGGTTATCTCCCACCCTGCATGGTGCTGAGCGGGGCGTCCCCCAGTTGGGGTGTGCTGAGGGTGTCCTTGTGCAGGGTTGGTGGTGTTCGTGGTGGTGAGGTTAGCAGAGGGTCTGGGTTCATCGCGGTGCTCTGGAGCTGGTTTTCTCTCTTGTACAGCTGGTAAATGCCCATGATGGATTTGGGGTTTAAATTGAATGCAGAGTATCTTGCTACGGCTCTGTCATTTTTAGCTGAAAGCACGTAGTCAGAGTCTCGATTTTGCAATTGCTAAATGGTGTGAGCAATGCTGGAGCCGGGGATTTTCTGCACTAGGACAGGCAAGGCTAAAAACTTGCTGCTGAGCTACCCAGAAAAAAAAAAAAAGAAAAAAAAAAACAAAAAAAAAAAAAAAAAAAAACAAAAAACAATTTTTAACCGTCTGACCTGGCAGAAAGGTTTGAAAGTGCCGGAAAGCCCCAGATCCCACCTGCCTCCCTCATCAAGGGAATTACAAGTGGAGAAAGTCCCACGGCTGTAAGCACACTGAGCAATTCCTGCTCTGTTCCCAGCAGCAGGGCGCTTCGTGGTGCTGCTAAGTGCCTTGTACTCACATGGGCTGAGCACCCAAAGCAGCATCTCTGCTGCAGAAGGTCCCTGATTGCCACCACGGCAGCAATCTGTTAAAGAACAGGAAGGAAAATAGCCCAGCAGGACAATTAGCATCGCATTCGCCTCTGCCCAGCACTGCTCTCAAGGCATTTTTGGAGGCTCATCGCGTCCCTTGCCTGGACACGGAGAAACTGAGGCAGGGGGCAGGCAGGCAAAAGCTCCTCCACAGCAGCCACGCTCTGAACCACTATTCCTGAGGATCCACTCTTTACGCCTCCACCTAAAGCACAATGCAGGGGGAAAATTTCTGCCAGTTCCATAAAAACTACAGTAGTTAATAAAACCGTCCCGGCCGAGCCCCCTCCTCGCCGCCCCCCCCTCCTCCCAGCTCCCCAGGGAAGCCAGACAGCTACGATTTCATTTTGCGCTGGGCTCGCGTCTGCTCCACCTCCCCGAGAAGTCAATCGGAAAGTTGGCAGCAGGGCGAGGGGAGGCGGGACAGGTCCTCAACGAGGAGCCTGAGGAGGCGAAATCTCTGCGCCTGGGGAAGGGGAGGCAGCTGCTGCCCGACCGGGGGACAGGGGGGCTGCAGCTGCTGCTGTCACCCTTTTTACAGCATCCCCCTCCCCGAGCTGCAGGGGAAGCACGCGTCCATCCCCGACAAGTGCTGTGACGCCGGCCAGAAACACGCTCTTTGTCCTCCAGCCTTTCTCCCCCATCTCCAGGCTCCCCGAACCCAACCTCGAGCAGAGAGCAGAGCGATGGCCCCGGTGCAATTGTTTCTAGAGACCACGGCGAGCCAAAGGACTCGCAGCCATTCCCATTATAAATAAGATCAGCATCCCCGGCGGGGCATGACAGCGGGGATTGCGCCAGGGGCACCTTGCCAAGCGGTGCAGGGACTTCTTCAGAAAGAGCAGGGCTGGTGCTACCAGTGGGAAACGAGCGGGGCCGGGAGCTGGGAGGAAAAGGCGAGCGCCAGGCAGGAGCATTCCTTTGATCGCACTGGAAAATTTCTCTTGGCTTGGTCTGCATCTGTGTTGCATGACAATGTCTTTTTGCAAGTATCCCCATCGAAGAGCCATCGGGCAGCAGCATCCAACGGCCAGGGACCGGCGGGTTTGCAGGGGATGCACCCCGTGAATTCCCCGTTGTTCAGACTCCGGCCACATAAACCCCAATTAGCCCGGACGGTGACCTGGCATCCAGACACATTTCATCGGGAAACTCATTTGGAAGTCTTTTACAAGAATCTTTCGCAATTAGAACGAAAACCCTCAGCGCCCCTCCTGCTGCTGGAGGAAGGACCGTCCTGCATGGTCTGGGTCTCAGGCAGAGCAGCTCGGTCTGCAAACCCCAAATTCTGGCACAGGTAACTTGTAATAGGACAGAAGAAAGCTGATTCTCAGGTAATTTGTGATGGAGCAGGATGATATCTCTCACATAGATTCATTACTGCATGTCGGTGACCCTGGTGGATTTGAGACTGCTCAGTGCCATCATTTTAGCAGCCCCACGAGGACTGTTTCAAACCAACTGATAAGAGCAGACGTGTTTTATTTTATCTTCCTGATCTGTGGGCAAGCATTTAGCTTTCTAACGCCTTCTATTTTTTTATAGATTTACCACGCATGTGATGGCCCCGGCTTATCAGTGCTGTGCTTCATGCGCTATGATATCCTGGAGTATTTCAGCATCTACGGGACAGCTCTGTCCATCTGGGTGTCCCTGATGGGTAAGCAGGGGTCCCTGCAGCACCCGGCATCTGCAGGGGGGGCTGAGGGCATCGCCAGTGGGTGCTGGGTGTCGTGGGTCAGAAAATCACCCGTTTCTCCTCATTTTCCCCGTGCCAGGCCCATCAGTTTGTTTGCTGAAGGCTCGCTTCCCAGGGGACATCCCGTCCCGACGGGGGGCATTAAGAAGTGCAGGGCCTGACACTTCCCTCGGTAGCAAGCAAACCCGGGTGATTTAGCCAAAACAAGCATATCTCCCAGGTTTATCAGGTCTGGGCTGACAGGAAATATTAGATCTGATTAGAAAAGGCAGAAAGATATTTCACTTGCTTTCATGAACAATCCCGACTCTGACATGATTCAGTTTTCCTTGTCCCGTTCTCCGTTTTTCCCCTTTTGGTCCTCATTTGCCACTGAGACAAAATGTAACAGAGATGAACAAAATGAAAGAACTGGAGAAGGATGAAGCCTTCAAACCTGTTATTTCCCAATCTTGTCGGCAAACTTGAGAAAAGGACAGGAGCATTTCTGACAGAGCAGGCAAGGGGCAGGATGAGCCTCCTTGCTTTCTTCAACAAACCAAGGCCACCAAAAGCAACCAGGACCCCCCTGTCCCCTCCAGGCCCTGGGGACATAGCAGTGTCCCCATGGCATCACCCACGGCACCTCCGTGCTCGGTCAGAAAGGGCAAGGACGGGAACCATCCCCAGAGGACATTCTTAAGCAGATAACGGCCGTGTCAGGGTAGGTCAGAGCCGGTCCAGACGCTCTGGCTCCTTGCAGCGAAATTCGACTTGATTGCTTCATTACTGCATTCAAAACCTCACCAAAAAAATAAAAAAACCCGGACTAAGATGTTTAAAATATTGACCCGCAGGGAAACAACAGAGATTAAAATGCGGACATTATCCCTTAGCCAAACTCCCTATAAAAACACGATCCAAGGACATGGAAGGTGTGGTGACTGAAGCCCAGGGAAGCCTCTCGCTGTGGCTTGTAAAGCCCGAGCGCACATGTGCGGACGCAGACCCTCGGGCACGCTTCCCGGAATGCAAATCCAGGACAGCCATAACACAGCTGTGCGAGCTGGAAAAGCATGGAGCCCACTGGGATCCATAACTTTTATCAGTTATTACCCCATTCTGTGCTAAACAAAAGCCTCTAATAATTCACTTGCACTGGCGACTTCCAGCTTGCAAAGCCCAGGCAGGTGCCGGCGTCGCCCGTCAGCCCGGAGCCCCGTCCCCACCGCAGCCGGCAAATTTGGGAGGGCTGGGGAAGCAGGAACGAGCCCAGGAGCCGAGCACGGCTGCAAGCACCCTTGTGTTTGGCCCTGAATTTTCAGTCCAGGAGGCAGCAGGCTCTGCCGGAGGTCAGCCTGGAAGGTTTGGGGAGCGATTTGGGCAGAGCTGGACGCGCCTCTCCCACCGGCAGCAGCTGTGACTGGGGGTGGGCTCTGCTCTGAGCAGCCCCCAGAGGTTCAGCTCCTCCAAGCACAGCCTCAACGCCTCCCTTGTGCAGCCAGCTTCAGGGTGCCAGGACCAGAGAGCAGGCTCTGCCTAGTCCAGAGCCACTCGGTGTCCCCAGGTGTCCCCAGGTGTCCCCAGCTGCCACCCCCAAGCCCTGTCACACACTGTCACAACACTGAGCGTATTTCTAAAATCAGCTCCTGGAGACACCACTCAGATACCCAGGGCCGGCTCACTTTGCCCCCTTCCTGCCTCAGTTTCCCCAGCTGAAAGATGTAAGAAGGGAAAATCGAGCCCGGATCCATCCCTGGGGACCCCGGAGCAGACCCCAGTGAGGTCTGGGGGTGCAGCAGAGCCCCGAGCTGCTCGCCCCACAACAGGAGGAGCGGAGATGGGCGAGCCCAGGCTCCCTGTGCTCTGTGCCCCGCAGCCCTGGCTGAGTTCGACGAGCCGAAGAGGTCGACCTTCGTCATGTTCGGCGTGCTCACCATCGCCGTGAGGATCTACCACGACCGCTGGGGCTACGGCGTCTACTCGGGACCCATCGGGACCGCCGTCCTGGCGATCACTGTGAAGTGGGTACGTCAGGAAGGGCACAGGGGAGCTCTGCGGGGTGCTGGTGCTTTCCCTGCCCTCAAGAGGTTTCTTCCCGAGGTCCAGCTCCTCCAGCAAGGGGATTAAACGGGGCTCTGCTCTTCCAGTCCTGAGGCAGAGATCGGGTTTGCAAGGGAATGCATGTCCTTAGCTGGGTTTTGGGTTGAATGTCAAGAAACCAGCACTGGGAAGTGATGCAGGAGAAGCCAAAGCAGCAGGCAGGCAGAGGGCTCGCCCCAGACAGCCCTGGGAGCGGGCTGCAGGCTTCACGGGGTTTTATTCGTGGGATCTGGGTGTAGAGCAGCCAGCTGAAGCTCTTCGGTGTGCTCTGTCTGTGCCTCCAGCTACAAAAGATGAAGGAGAAGAAGGGGCTGTATCCAGACAAGAGCGTCTACACCCAGCAGATCGGTCCTGGCTTCTGCTTCGGGGCGCTAGCGCTGATGCTGAGGTTCTTCTTTGAGGTAAATGTTTGCACGCTAAATCCCACTGACTTTGCAAGGTGCAGTGGGCATTACCAAGCCAGGAGGTCCCCCTTGAGCCCCAGGTCTGCATCCAGCCTCAGACAAATGTCAGCTCGGGTTTGTGTGCGGGGCTCTGCAGGACCCCTCGATCCTCGTGCCCACTCCAGACCATGCTCCAGGCACTGTGGTCTGGCTGGAGCAGTGTTTTTTTTTCCCCTCTTTTTCCCTGTAAGTCGGTTATAAGGACACCAGCCACTTTTCCTTCTGCCATATGTGGTCCTTGAAGTGCTTTTATCGAGCAGGAGTGGCCACTTTTGGACCTGGGGCACAGGTGACTTGAGGACATCTCGCGTATCCACCACAGGGACTGGATACGACCCAGGCATGGCCAGATCCAAACCTTGCTCACGCCAAGGAAAAGACTCCGTGGGCTCCCCAGGGCACTCGATCCCACATTTAACCTTTTGCTCTTGCCGCTGGCCAGTCCTCCTGTCCTGCATAAGGGGGTCTGTCTGTCCTGGAGAGGGGGGGAAGGCGGTGACCCCCCTGCGCTCTAGCCCTGCCGTTACAGCTGCTCCGTGCACTGGGAGGCACGAGATACAACCTCGCTGTCGTCCCCAAGGATTATTTTTCAAAGCATTTAGTAATTGCAAATTTTAGCAGAACATAAAAATGTCACTTAGCAGAAAGTCCGTCCCCCCCACCACACCCCATCGTCCCCTCCCAGCCTCCTGGCCTCATCCTTTGCAGGGTAATGAAACACTTCATTCATGAATTGGGAAACGTGCAAATTGGAATGCGTTAAATCCACTTTGCCTTTTTTCTAAGGCTGGAAATCCTTTCTTCTCTGACAGCAAAAAGAGGCAGAAGGCTCAGGAATATATTTTTCTTTATTCCTTTCCCTTTGCCTACTTGCAGCACCCACCACCAAGCCCAGCAGCTCCCACTAACGCTCTCCCGTTGCAGGAGTGGGACTACACCTACGTGCACAGCTTCTACCACTGTGCCCTGGCCATGGCCTTCGTGCTGCTGCTGCCCAAGGAGAACAAGAAGGCCGGGGGTGCTGGCACCCCTGCCAGGCTGGACTGCTCCACGCTCTGCTGCTGCGTCTGAGCCCCCGGCACCTGCCCCTGCGCCTGGGCACTGGAGGGCTGTGACCACGAGCAAGGTGCTGCCTGCTGTGCTCTCCTGGGGACCTTCTCTCACCAGCTCTATGCACACCCTGGGCTTCGTCTTTCCACCATCATAACACCTTATGCGTTTCCAGTTTGCCAAATTCCTGTACTCCCTGGAGAAGCCCTTGTCAGGGATGTGCTTCTGTCCTGTGGCGCAGCAGCAGGTGCTGGGGACCTTGGTGTCCCTCCGTGTGCTCTCAGCCACGTCACCTCCTGTCCCCTGTGCTGGCCCAGGAGGACCCGAGATGTCCCCTAATGCACGTTTGCCCAGCCTGAGCACACAAAGCTCTGTTTGTAATGCCCGGGGACCAGAGCCTGTATTTTTGTGAGATATTTCCTATTTTATTTATGCACTCTCTCGATGTAAATAATACTTATCAGCAAAGACTCTTTGCAAGCGTGCAGTACCAGCTTTCCCTAAGCGGCACAAAAACCTTTCCAGCTCTGCTGCTGCTTGTCCCAGCTGAGGCAAGGGCAAGACACCAGCCCCAGAGCACAGCCACCACCTTCCCTGGCCCAGAGGTGGCTGCAGCATCGGTCACTTTGTCCCCGCCAACCTGCTGGGGTGGCGCAGGCAGCAGGTGTGCTCGCAGCGAGCCGCGTTAGTCCGGAAAGCACGTGGAAAACGAGAGGCACAGCAACGAAGCTCCTGGAGCTGGTGGGGGAGGGCTGTAAGCCTCTAACATCTCCTATAACAGACTATTTACTATAGCAGAAGTGTATGATTTATTTAGACTGTCTGGGAAAAACGCCAGGACTATATGTCATGGACAATTAGAGCGGTATTGATATACAGTGATGTCCACAGAAAGCCCACATTAAGCCTGGGCTCCTCTGGAAGAGAAATCCACCCCAGTCATTCATCAGAGCCACTTCCTGCGACGGGGCAACAACCAAAGCCGAACGGGTTTCCAACAAAAATACAAATGAATCACGAAGCCCCGAGCATCCAGGAGTCACTGGCGAGCTGGCGCTGCGGTGGCACGGCCAGCACGGCTGCGCCCGGGGGCAGCGCTAGCGAGGGGGTCCCAGGGGGCTCACCAGGCACCAAAACCAACCCAGCCCCAGTGTGTGTGAGCAGCCAGCCCCTAGGAAAATTTGCAAGGTGCTGCGAGGGAATGAAGGGAACGCTTTCCACATTGCTTGCTGAGCAAGTCTCCGCGTCCCTGAGCACGCCAGGCTGGGGTGCGCTACCCCACGTTCAAATCTTCACCCGGCTGCCTGTGCACGCCCTTTACCTCTTGCTGCAGCCACAGACCAGAGGCACCCGGCCTCCCCGAGTCATTTTGTGAGTTTGGTCCCTCCAGGGTGGCGGTGATATGAGTATTCCCCATGGCAAGCCCGGCTGTGCCAGCTTTCATGGGCACGGGAGAGGCTCACACCTGCCCAGTGTAAATGCAACGCATTACGGGGCCTGAACGTGAGCTGAAACAAGGCTGGCAAACCCACACAAACCAGGAGGGCACGTTGCTGAGGTCCAGCTGAGTAAATGAAAGCTCCTGCTCCCACCTGCCGCATATTCAGGTGTTACTCCAAAATAAAATAAAAGAAAAAATACCCCAAAATGGTATTGGGGTATTACACGCAAAAAAAAAGAACAGCATTTTTCCCCCCCCTCTCCCTGCTGCTGCCCCCAGGCTCTGCTCCCACTCTGCAAAGCACCCAGCCCTCCACACCCGGGACAGGACCAGCACCCACCCTAGGAGCAGAATCGCAGCCGGCCCTGCCATGGGATCAGCCCCGGGGCAGCACCCATGGGTGCAGCCAGGTGGGAGCGGGCACCCCGCACCCGGGAGGTGGCTGCAGGGGCTGAGCTCGCTATCTCCCGGGCAGGATATCCCATGCAGTACAAATGCAGGGAAATATTATAAACATTTACAGCAACGTAGACAAAACAGTCTCTTGTAACCTTTTAGCGCTGCCGAGAGCTTTGCCTGTAAGAGCTCTTGAGCCCCTGCCAAAAATTCTTGCTGTTTTCATAAGAGTAGGTGTTTTCGTCTAAGGTGCAGTCTGAGTGCTGTGACCTTTGTCATGTCTGCTACTGAAATTTCCTGCTTCTCTGTTATTCTCTTCTTTGGTAAGACGATATGAAACCCAAAACTTTTATTGCCCCTTTTAAAGCGTCTTTATAGCTCCCCGTCTACTTCATATACTGTCTTATTCTCGAACACTGGGATATTACTTATGGGATCCGAGCTTGATGCTGCAAAAGGCATTTGGGTTTCACGGAGCCGAAACCGCCCGGGCTTTTTTAGCATCGGCACGAAGGGGGGGAGGAGGAAAGAAAGGAAAAAAGGAAAAAAAAAAAAAGGAATGAGAGGGGAGGGACTGGGCTTTCCTCTCCGGAGCAGCGGCATCTGCTACCAGCACCGAGGCAGAGTGCCTTCCCGTGAGGGAGAGGTGGGCACCAACCTGCAGGAGGGTTCGGGGCTGGCCCCTTGAAGCCCCTTTCAGCACCTATGGTTGAAGTGTCCCTGTCCCCTCCAGGTGACACCCGCTGCCCTGAGCTCGCCTGCCACAGGGCTGGGACGAGAGGGGAGTTAGGACCCGCTGCTGCTCGAGGGGAGGCTTCCAGAGATGTCTAGTGGGGCTCAGTGCCAGCTAATCTTCCAGGCAAACCTTATCCAGATCCCTTTGGCTGCATAAAGTGAAAAACTGGCCAGACCGAAACATAAAAGCTTGGGTTCTGCTGCCAGCTGCATGGGGCACTCCAGAAAACGCCTTATCACCATGTGATTTTGCAGGGCGGCTTTCGGCTTTTTCCACGCACCGCTCACCCTCTCCCTGCCACTTCTCCGTGCACGTTCCCGTTTTGAGCCACCCTACCCAGACCTGCCGGGTTAACGGGGTCCTGGCTCCATCTTCTAGCCATGCTAACAGCCATCTAGCTTCATAGCCATCGCCGGGCCACGGTGATGCTGCTGCTCTCCAGAAGCAGCGCGGCTCCAGCCTGAGTGCACGCAGCTCCTGGGTGGCGGTGATGGAAAGCCCCAGGAGAGGCATCCACCGGGACCTCCAGAGAAGTCCTGCCCCACCCAGGGGAGGGACAGAGGAATCTGATTTCCCTGGGAGGTTGGGAGCGATGATTTTTTTGTGCAGGTAGAGCCAGGAGCACTGCGGGGAGCCCAGGAGAGTTCTTACCCTGGGCTCCCTCCACAGTTCTGACATCCAGGAGATGTCTGCGCCCTGTACCAGGGCACAGCTCAGGGGTAAACCAGGTCTGCAGGGGCAAAGGGGAGCCACCACCAATGTCCTACACAGCACCAGGGCTCCGTGGCCCTGGGACACGGCACAGATGCACTATATGAGACCAGGCCCATCCATCAGCCTGGAAAAAAGGGATGTGGAGCAACCGCAGCCCCCACCCAGACCCACTCGGTATCTCCCAGCCATCCCAGCCCCAAGGAACATTTCCTTGTGGAGCACAAAGCAGGTCTGCTGTGCTGCAGGAGCCTCAGGGTGCACCCAGGAGGAGCAGGGTGGGATTTGCTACGGCTCTGCAGGAATAACCCCTCTCTGCAGCAGCACACGACAGAGTTAGAGCAGATGTAACACGCGGCTCAGCGAGGGGGTGCCAGTCCCAGGACACCCCACCTTGAAACTCAACATCCTGGAAGGGAAGACCCTGGCCACGAGCCCCTCGCACACCCGCAGGTGTCCGGCCCACCGAGCAGAGCTGGGGATGGACGTGGGCTGTGGGCACAGCCCCAAATCCCAAATCCAAGCCCCTCAGCCCTTGGAGGGGCAGGCGGGGAGCAGCAGGGCTCGCCTGGCTCCTGCCACGACGCTCTCGCAGCTGCAAGAAGCTCTCTCCAAACCCAGGTCCGGTGCCTCGAGCCTCCCTGCTCCTGCGGCAGAGCGGTCCCAGGGAGCGGCGGTCCAAGGTTTTGGTTTAGGCCAATCTCCCAGAAATTCTGTCATCATGCAGAGCATCACGCACACTCCCGGATCCGCATTACAGAGAGGATGGCCCCGGTCCAGCGCCTCTTAAAGTCAGTGGAAAAACCCTCCCTCGCTACAATGGGAGCTGGCTCGGGCCTTATACGATCTGACAGATACCAAGGAGCGAGAGGAGCTGTTTTAATCTGGGAATATCTCGTGGCCCCAGAGCTTCTCCTGCAGACTGACAGGGCAGCATGTCTGCGGAGCATGTGCTGCTAAAAAAAGGGCCCGGGCTCGCAACAGCCTTTCAATAAGCGCTTAACTGATCGTCTTTATCTGATCCATGTGCTCCAAACGCGAGGGAACCGGCCGGGTTTCCAACTGTACACATCATCTGATGCTCATAAAAAGAGCTGATGTGTCTGGAAGCCCCAGACCCGGAGAAGCATTATTTAAACGGGGGAAAGGAAAAAAAAAAAAAAAGTCAATGCTGCCTTAAAAACAGCCTCGTGCACAGGCAGGGCTGGGTGGCTGCTTTCCCCCGGTTACCTGCGTTTTTCCAGCAAAGCAAATGTTTAGTGATAAAAGTCATGATCTCATTATGAAGGAAGGGTCCGTTCTGCCCGCAAAAGGGAAGGTCTGGGGGGAAGCTTTACACACGCCTCTTCTCCCTCTCGTTCCCTTTATTTGCATTTTCATTTTCACAGTAGTGGAGCTAATCGGAACTGAGCGGGAGCGAGGGCCCAGGTTATAACCACAGTATCGGGTAGCACCTCCACATCTGGAAGGGATTTTGACACAAGTTCTCCCAGACTGTTACAGACAGTTTAAAAGCAAAATCTGATAAATAGCAAATGTTTAACAAGTCAATAGGAAGCTGCGCTTGCTAGAACATGTGGCTCTAACCGTTCGAGCACCGCCGCACTGCCAAGGCCCTTCCCGAGCGCGTGCACACGCACGGAGCGCGGGCTTGTCGTGGCTCTGGCCGGACCTGGCCTTCAGAGGGAAGTATTAAAGACAGATGTGTCTTTATACGTCCAGACGTGTCCAACAGCTTGGCTGCTGCCTCCCTGCTTTGGTGGTAAAAGGGGGGGTTTCTTCTTCCCGCAGAAAAAAGCCACTGCAAGCAAACCCACCCCAAGGCGACAGCGCCCGCGGTGTCGCAACCCTGCCCGGTTTGGGGAGGCTTCGCAGCCATAAACAGATGACTGCCCGAAATGTGGAACCAAGCATTAAAATAGACAGAATTATGCAAGGAGGGGGGAGCGGAGGGGGAGACGGAAGAATAAGAAGTGACCAGAAAAACCACCAGAAACCCTCCGGGATGCCTGCCTATATTTAAAGATAATGTGTCCAGCCGTCTTGCCAAGTCCCACTCATTTGGAGCCGGGCTCATGTTTTGGATTAATTTTAAGGCAGTTCCTAAAGCATCTCACTCACACAAGGAAGAATTTTTGCCTCCTTGGCCAAGGTGACCTTCTAAAAAATCTCACTCACTATTTTTCAGCCT